AATGTTTACTATGACTGGATTGTATCTTTCATAAGTGGGTAGACATGGGAGGTAAAGCCTATATTTTCTTACATGTTTTAATTACTCACATTTCCTAGAGTCAAATATGGAGAGATGCTCCTTTGGCATACTTGTGTTTTTATTTAAAAAAAAAAAAGAAGTCTGTCTCTTGATGTAGGGGTTTCAGATATCTAAGAAGCAATATCCTTCTCCCTCTCAGACCAGAATGAGACAGAATGATGCTGTAGACCCCCCAGTCCAGTCCCCCTGGTCCTGTCACTCTTTATCCAGAATGGAATAGCTTCAACAGCAGAGGCTGACTGAACCCCACATCAGAACATCCCCTAGCTCAGTGAAGAGGAGACGCATTGGGGGGCATTCACATCCCTCCCCCATTTGCTGCTTGGCTTGTACTGAGCATGCTCACACAGACTGAGCCTCCTCAATAACACTGCTGAAGCCAGCTGCCCTCGCTCTGCTCCCTCCCTGCACTATTGGCAGGCACAGGTCCATCTCAGTGGTTAGAGTACTCTTTGGAGAGGTAGGACTTGAACAAGGGTCTCCCTTCTCCCTCCTCCACACTTGCAGTGATAGGGGAATTGAACCTGAGTCTCCAAAGTTACAAGGTGGACGACACCACCTCCTCCAGCTACATTTTGAATGGGGGACCCGAGCCAATACGTAGGCCCTGCGTATGTCTTAGGTGGCTGAGTGTCTGTTTTCCCCTCGTTTGTGGATCACTCTGAGGGTCAGGCAGTAGACAGGCATTTGGATGCATAGAGGGAGGCAGCAGTGTGCATGCCCAGAGGCTGAAACACAGGTGCCTACGGACATTTTACTTTGAAAAGTTTAGGCATTGAGTGAATTTAGGCTTTAGAATTCGGTAGGAGTTTTGTGGATTGCAGTGGAGCCAAAATTGGGACTTAGATGCAGAACTGTTGGGTTATGTACCTAGATCTGGAATTTAGAGCCTATAGAGATGTCTACGGTACAGCAGCCTAACTACGGCAGTACCAGCAGAAGGAGTTTTCCTGTCCTGAAGATAATCCACTTCTCTGAGATACCGTAGTTACATTCATGGAAGAATTCTTCCGTTGACCTCGCTGTGTCTACAGAAGGCACTGGTGTAGTCCTAAACTGCAGCCTCTCCCTGTCAGCCTGTCCCTCTAACCTTGTCCCCGATGCTGGGGGGGGGGGGGCACATAGTAGTGAAGTGGAACTGGAATGCTTGGGTCAGTCTAACTACGGTGCCCAGGATGCACGGTTTTTCATTGCTCTGAGCAGCACGGCTAGGTTGAGTGCAAACCTGCCAGTCTCTCTCTGGATCCCACTCAATGCCCTTACTGTCACCCCCGTCCCAAGTTCCAGCTCTGCAGTGGGAGCAGGAGCTGGCCTGAAGCGACAGGGCCTCCCTTTCTTATGCAATGTGTCTGTCTTGAAACATGGTTTACTTTTTTCAGAAAAAAATATGGATAGTGATATCAAGCAATTAACACCACATCTGAGAATATTTTCTTGTAGGTGGAAGTATTATTACTCCTAAACACTATAACTGCAACAGTATGCAAAGTGTGTATTTGCCATGCAAGTACACCTTATAAGGGAAAAAGGAATAATTCTGGCTAGTTATTTGCTTTTAATACATGTGGACTCCAAAGACTATAATGTGACATGACACAATTATATAGAAACAATAAAAGAACACACTTTTTTGCTGTAGAATTAGACAGATGGATTTTTGGAAGATTTCCCTAATGTTTTTAAAAGGTGTTGATTTGGTGCTGTTTTAAATTATATTATTAGTCAGTGAAAGGAAATCACCCAGTCAGGAGGCAAAATCCAGGGACTTGAATGCATGTGCACCCAATCTGATAGCTCCTTAATTCCAGAAATATGAGGAGGTAGGCTCTAATGCTACCAGCCAGAAGTTCTCATATACTGATAACAAAAACTGATGTATCTATATTTTGTTTTTAACAGTTTCAAACTAACTGGGATTGTTTCAACTATAATTACTTCTCTTTTGTGCAAATAATTCACTCAGCTCATAACTGCAGTTCACCCTGTTGCTTAATTTATTTGGTCATTAACTTTGGCACAAGGGACAGAGGTGATGTAAAGCTCTTAACCTTTCTGCAGTCAGATGGAGGCAAGTAATCTGCACCTAGAAGCTTTGACAAGACATCCCAAGAGAGTGTAGAACACTTACAATTAATTTAATTAAGGGGAACATGTTTTATGCTGGGACTAGAAAGAATGTTTTCCTGATGAATAAGATTAAACTTTTTGTGATTGATTATTTTAGAGAGTCATGGTCAGATGAAAAATCCACTAAAACTCTGTCCTTTCTTCAGTTAATATATTAGTATTATACCCTAGAGAATTTTTAAAAATCTAGTTTACTTTTCACTAGTTATGCTGCTACTTTAGTATTTGCATTTCACTCAGCTTGGCCAATAAAATAATGCAAATTAACTCTTCAGATTTCATCATATAGCCTATGCTTTGCAGCATTTTGGTTGCAATATTTTGCTAAATGTTTTAATTGGACCTTGAAAATAATGTGATAATGTTTGTATTAGGTTTGCTATAGCTTGTTTTACAAAACCTAAATGTAGGGACAGATATGACCAGTGAGCGTCCCTGTTATATTTTAAAGAATTTAAGTTATTTTTATTAAAGACTTTATACAATAACAGGCACCAAATAAAATGTGATGTTTTTACAGTAGGATAGTTGTCTTACATAAACCAGTAGCATCCTATATATGGTAGAAGGAAGGCTCTACTTACAGTGAGCTGTACACAGGGGTGAAAGTAAGTTAAAGGACTTACTGGTATGCCAGAGTCCTGAGCAGGGGGCGTGGCCTCAACCGGCAGGGGCAGGGCGTTAAATCCCTAGGCCCTTTAAATCACTGAGGAGCCCTGGGGACTCCTGGCTGCCACTGATACCCCGGGGTTCTGGCAGAGCTTTAAAGGGCTTGGGGCTCCGCTGTGGTAGTGGCTGCTGGAGCCCCAAGCCCTTTAAATCCCCAACGGAGCCAAACCGCCACTACCCCAGGGCTTGGGCAGCAGGGCTCAGCCGGGGAGTTAAAGGGCCCCGGGGCTCCAGCCGCTGCTACCGCCCTGGCCCTTTAAATTGTTTCCGGGGCTCCAGCCGCTGCTACCGCCCTGGCCCTTTAAATTGTTTCCGGGGCTCCAGCCGCTGCTACCGCCCTGGCCCTTTAAATTGTTTCCGGAGCCCTGCCGCTACTGCTACCCTAGGGCTTTGGCAGCAGGGCTCCAGAGGGAATTTAAAGGCCCGGGGCGGTAGTGGTGGCTGGAGCCCTGCGGCCCTTTAAATCCCTGCCAGAGCCCTGCCACCTCTACCCCAGGGCTAAGGGCAGCAGGGCTCCAGCGGGCATTTAAAGGGCTCAGGCAGCCACTATTGCCCCAGCCCTTTAAATCCCCTTCAGAGCCCCGCTGCCGCCGCTACCCTCAGCCTTTAAATTGCCATCTGGGAAAGCTGGTTCCACTATGGCGCACCGGCTCTTGCTGGTACGCCGTACCGGCTTACTTTCACCTCTGGCTGTACATAATTTTTTAGCTGTTGAAATTATTGTATTTCCACTGCCTAATAGTGCCATCACTGAAAAATTCCTCCATTCATCCCTCGTTCTTTCCAAAAATCAGGGTTTAAAACGAAAAAAGCTTTAACCCATTCTGTCCTCTTGGAGGAGCTGAAGGACATATAAGCTGTTGAAGCTCTATCCCCTAAAACAGAATTCACCCAAAAACTGTGTGCAGGTCCCGCTTCTATAAAATCCCTCTCCTCTGCTGGAGCCGGAATCTTTCCCCTGAGTCACATCCTTTTCTTTTGTTGGTTCAGTAGCAGCTAATTTTTGACAGTATCAGTTGCAGCTCTGACCAATGCATTGTAGGAAAAATGCACCAGATACATCCCAAATGCATTCCACAAAACAAACCCTGCACAACCAACCACCTTGCAGAAAGTATGTATTTCGTGCGTAATGCATTGCACGCACACATTTGCACAGATAAATCCTTTGCAGAGAAAGGAGTAAGAATGCACTATAGTAACACAGAGAAAAAGGTGGGTTTCATGATAGAGTATTCTAGAATCCCACATTCTTCGTAAAAGAAAATCCCGAAAGTGGACCTGTCTTCAAAGACCTACCCCCTCCTTGCTGGAAAAGTTATACTGCTGACTTGACATGAACATCATGCAACGCTACATCCACTTCAGATGAGAGGCGTGCACAGAGCAGGCTGCGAGCTCCCCTCTTGGTTAATATTGCATGCTCCCTGCTTATGTCTTCTGTGCTTCTTCAGCCCAGCCCCCAACTCACTCATAGAGACCTTGGTCTAATACATGCAATAATCATAGCGGTACTTAATATATAATTAATTAAAAATTAACTCCTTCCCCCTAGTTATGAATACAGAACAGAGATGGAAACCAGGTGCAAAAGCAACGCATGGAAGGGAGGTGAAGGACGACCTGTTTTGCATAACCCCGCCCTTCCTGAAGAATTACTGGTCCCTCCTGCACGCTATGCAGGGTGCCGGGGCCAGGGAGGAGCGCCGATTTGCATAGTAACGCCCCTCGTGAATAATTAACCAGACCCCTCCTGGTCCGCGCGCGGCTCACCTCCTGTGCATTACACACACACACAGAGGCTGGGAGAGCGCGTGCGCCCTCGCTCGCGCACGGGCGAGAGAGGGAGGGAGGCGTAGCTTGAGCTTCCTTCCTCACTCCCCCCGACCCCTCCCCAAGCCGAGCGCGCGAGCCCAGAAGGGAGCCGGCGCTCGCTCTCTCGCGCGCGACTCGGGGGCGAGTTGGCTGCGCGGACGCGCGCCGGGCGGGCGCGAGGCCAGAGGCGCGAGGCGCAAAGGGGCTGCTGCTCCCTCCTTTGGGACACCGCGCGCGCGCGCTCGCCCGCCCCCTCGCGCTCTGTGGGGAGGGGATCCGGAGGAGGGAGGGTGAGCCTTGGGGTGTTTTATAATTGGGGCGGGGGGGGCTGAGGTAACCGCTGCGGTGGAGCGCGAGAGCCGGTGAGGGGTAAGAACAGCCACCCTGTCCCCGGCCCGCCGCCCCAGCAGGGAAGGCTCCCGGGGGCCGTAGGGGATGTGGTGAGAGGGAGGTGCCCGGACTCGGAGAGCAGCCTCACGTCGGAGCCCGCGCTCCGCCGCCCCAGGTAAGGGCAGCGAATCCTGAGGGGGAGGCGCCGGGGCCAGGCGGGGAGGAGGGGGGTCTGTCTGTGTGTGTGTGTGGGGAGGGGGTTAGGCGGTGTGTGTCGATGGGAGTGGGGGGGGGGGAAGAGGTGCGTGGGCATCGTCGGAGGCGGGAGGGGTGCGGGGACTTGGCGGCGTAGCCATTGGGGTGGGTGTGTGTCGCGATACTCTGTGACATATCGGGCTCTGTGTGGCGACATTGTTATTGATGTGTGACTGGAAATCGCGTCAGTCGCCCCCTCCCCCCCACCGGGTGGGGGGGAAAGACTGTGCAGCACATGGGTGGGGGAGGAGGTTGGCGGTGCTCCCGGCGTTTTTGAGGGGGACCGGCTTAGCAGCGCAGAGAGCGGGGCAATGGCAAAGGCACAGGCACGGGCTGATATGACTGAGCCTGGGTCAGTCACGCTGGGGGTGCGTTGATAACTGGGTTGAAATGGTATTGACAAGGACCGCATTGTTCGCACCTATGGGAGTGACGCTACTGGCGACCAGATCCATCAGGGAGCCCATGGGGGTGGTAAATGGCACACGCACACAGATTTGTATTAATAGGGACTGGTTCAAAAATACCTTTATAGTGTGGTACTGACAGCGAATTGATCACATGGGGGCTGGATCCCTTCTACCAAAATAAAGAGGGACTGTCAATTCCACAGATACTGCACCTCTTGTATGGAGACTGGCTCAATATGTTATGAGGACCAGTAGTACCAGTTCTGACAAATAGATGGCTACTGGATCAGTGATATCAATTTGTAATCAATAATTTGAAGCTTACATTAATAATTCGTGGTTATTTATATATTTAAGTAGTGTAGTAAGTGTTAGGCTAATAAGATTAATTTACTAAAATGGTATCAATAAGAACATTTTTTCCAATTAAAATATCAACTAAATGTCCTTAAAACAATAGATTGAATGGGTATAAGGTTGGTCTTTAATGATATACATTTATTTTAAAGGCTGATAGGTTTAACCATAATGATACAATGAGAGAAACCTCCCCTTAAGCAAGGAGGAAAAATAAAGACAAAGGGAAAAAAAGTGGCTGTCAGAAGATGGTGTATTTTATTTCCAGAGACTTTGCTGCTGCAGAGAGAATTCACATTAAAACAACATACACAAAAAGCTGTTACTTGTGTGCTATGCAAGGAAAACAAAGGTTAAATATCTTCCTTTCCTACCCTTCCGACAGTGTGAATAAAGATAAAAAGTATGGAGCAAATTGAGAAATACAGCAGAATTTTTTTTTTATTACTGATGTTCTTGGGTTGATTGTTGGAGGCTAAAATGTAAAAAGAAATGAGATATGAGAGAGTTTCTATTACATGTTTGTTTTACCAGGGAAAAAGAGGGTCTAACACCCGTTTCTGAGTGGAAGTTCAGGAAGAAATGTAATATGGTAATCCAGCTGTGAGGGAACTGTATGTTTGTGTCTTTTTACACAGATAAAAATAACTAGTATAAGGAAAATGAAACAAAATATGCTGATCAAATATTTTTGATCTGGTGGAGTTCAGTAATAGGAGCTGAAATGGTTAGTTAATACTCTTTGGGAAGTGGAACATAGATATGTGTCTGTTCAGTGTATTGTAGCAAGGATGAAATTGAGTGAGGGGGAGAACAACAACATGGAAAGATGTCCATGGAATCCTGCTTGCAGCATTTCCCAGGTGGAGCCTGGAATGATGGATCTGAAGCACTAGCGTTCGGATGAAAAATGAAAGGAAAACCATAAACCTTCAAAAAAAAAAAAATCTCCTGAAGTGAAAATGTAAAGACAAGCGAATAAAGTGAGTGCATTTTGCCAAGAACATCTGTTTTTAAGAGAATTGCCAGTTATATCCACACTAGAATTTCTTACTAGAGTGACAAAAGACACCACACCACTGTGTGTGTGTGTATATAAAATGAAATGTAAGATTTATAGGCAAGTCAATTATAAAGCTGTTTTATATTGGCTGTTGTGGTTTGTTGTGGGCTTGTGAATGAGAGTTTCTGGAAAGAGTGGAGTGGTAATGCCTGAGTAAAGGGTCCTTGAGCTATCTTATTTGCTGTAGATAGGGTGTCTTGGGGGCTGGTGACAAGCACACTGTGCAGTACTCTACTCTTTATTGCTGCTCCTAAAAGAGCCTCAGTAAATAATACTGCGTTTGCTTCCCTTACTACCAGACACCAAAGGCAACATATACACAAGAAGCTATACACACTCCCAAAACTTGTCATCCACACTCCACGTAGCGCTCAGAGGAGTGCTGTAGCCTGCTCTTCAGGGTGCAAGGAAGGTTAGAATTTTGCGTGTAAAAATTTAGATTTATTATTACTACTTTCCTGTACAATGTTCTATATATGATAGTGAAGTTGAGTTAATACAGTGCTTAGAAAATAAACTCAATACCTTTAGTGACTGCTTGGCTTTCCCTCTATAGCCATTCCTATCTGCCTTTTTGCCTTCCATATTTTGCATTTGCTACCACTAGAACTCATGACATTGTCTTTTTAAGTGATTGATGTACTGTGAACCAGGTTACAATGGATCTCATATTTCTGTAAATGAGTATTAAATACACCCAATTAGAGCCTTTTAAAGTTTCAGATTACTAGGAAATAAGTGTGTATAGCTTTTGAATAATGAGCCATACACATTACTGTGGCTAAAGGTCCATCAATATGTCCACTATAGTCAATGAAGTTTTTCTAAAGTAAGGTCTCTATTCTGCAAAAACTTACAAACATATTTAACGTTGTGTGCAAATACGTCCATTGAAGTCAACGCGACTACTTGTGTGTTTAAAAGCAGTAGTTTTCCACCTGTGGTTCGTGGACCCTTGGGGGTCTGCAGACTATGCATAAGATTTCCAAAGGGGTCTGCATGTGCATTTGAAATTTTTTAGGGGTCTGAAAATGAAAAAAGGTTGCTTTTAAATTCCTCAAAGGGTGTAAGTGTTGTTTTTTCTTTTGCAAAACAGGTTTTGGGTTTAGATTTTCAGAGTAATACAGGAGGAGTTAACTGTGTGACTTTTATTAGCATCAAAGAGAGCTGCGTGGCTAAATCCATTCCCAAAAAGAAAAGGAGTACTTGTGGCACCTTAGAGACTAACAATCCATTCCTAAAGCTTTGAAAATGTGTCCTTAAGTATCACCTTAATGTGTGTGGTAACTGCCTTTCCATAACAGTGTGTATTGCTTATGCTCAGTGTGGTATCCAGAATACTCAAACTCCACAGTTTCAGAGTAACAGCCGTGTTAGTCTGTATTCGCAAAAAGAAAAGGGGTACTTGTGGCACCTTAGAGACTAACCAATTTATTTGAGCATGAGCTTTCGTGAGCTACAGCTCACTTCATCGGATGCATACCGTGGAAACTGCAGAGACTAACCAATTTATTTGAGCATGAGCTTTCGTGAGCTACAGTTCACTTCATCGGATGCATACCGTGGAAACTGCAGCAGACATCTGCTGCAGTTTCCACGGTATGCATCCGATGAAGTGAGCTGTAGCTCACGAAAGCTCATGCTCAAATAAATTGGTTAGTCTCTAAGGTGCCACAAGTACTCCTTTTCTTTTTGCAAACTCCACAGTGTTACTGATACTATGGTTTATAACCATTATGATAAAATTTATCATTTTTACGAGATTGTGTCCCATCTTTTGATGTTTGTTTTTATTTGAAAAAAAGGAATGTATAAAAACTTCTTTAAAAGTGCTATTTAAAGGCCTAAGAGCAACATAGTCATGCCAGGCCAGGTGTTCAATCACTGAAGTCAGTGGGAGCAAGATTGAGCCCACAGAGCTAGGTTCTGTCTTTTGCAAATTATTAGGCTTTCATCTTGCAAACACGGAAATGCTTCAGATATGTGTGTAGACTCACGGAAGTCAATATGTAAAATTAACTACTTATGTAAATGTTTGCAGGATTGGGGCCTTATAAAATAGGTTGTGAAGCTGTAGCATATTATGAACTTGTTAGAGCTTGTTTAAAAAGTTTATAAAATAATCACATCATATGGAGCTGTCCTAGTCTTTTTCCTTTTGTGATCTTTTAATAAAATTTGTTTTAAAATAAAATAAAATTTTGGTTAAAAAAAACCCCCCAAAATCAACCACTTTAAATATGAAATCTACATTGGATTCATATGAAGGAAGAGGGAGAAATGAGAGGACCCAGGTGCCCATGCAGAACCCCATTGAATACAGTGGGACTCCATGTGTGTGCATTCTTACACAATGATCTGATTTCAGGATCAGATGTCTCAATTTTGTTGATTACTCCTGGGGGGTCTTCTCCACCAAAAAATTAAAAATTTTGCGCACAATATTTTAAAATTCTGCATATTTTATTTGTCAAAATAATACAAGATACTCATGCAAGATTCAATTATTTTGGTAATGTATTTCAAAATACCTGTCAGCAAGTATGTCTGTAACAATATGGACGACAAAAAAATTAGGAAATGTTTTTTGACAAATAGATTCCTTACTAGTCATATTACTGCAGAACTTTGAGTAATAATTAATTTAAACTACAATACAGAAACGTATTTCCTGCACTCCTCAGAAGCAGTTCAAAGGCTTGGGGGAATCAGGCATAATGGAGGAGCTGAGGAAAAGGGAAGTAATTGTGGTGAAGGAGCATGGGTGTGAACTTGGAGAGTTATTGCATGTGGGTTGGAGAAGTATGGAACTTTTTTTTTTTTTTTTTTTTGACTGACCCCTAGACTCTCACATTCAGTCAGGCACATCTGCCCCTATTCCCTTGTGTCCCTGCACCCTCAATCCCATTCAGCTCCTGCCCCAGACTGTCCCCTCCACACTAGCTCTTTTGAACCCCAGTCTATGACCCTCAGCAGCCTCATGTGCCCTACGTTGTCCGTCCATCTATATGCCATGCCACATCCCCTGGCCTCCTGGGCAGAGTGCTGTGAGGAACGCAGCCTCTTCTCGCAGCCTCTTCTCTTCCATAT